TCAGAAACCCACCTGCAAAATGCGAGTTCAGTGATTACCATTCGATCATCCACACGCAACACTGGCGGCGCGTTCTCGTTGCAGTTGTTTGGAGATAATGCATCTACAAATACTGGTCAAGCCGGTGTAGGCATTCTGAGTCCCAGGGCTGAAACTGTCCTGGTTGACTGGATCCCAATACGCCGTCAGATTGACTGGCTCATTTAGAGCTTCGAAGTTACGCATAGATAGACGGCGCATGTTTGTCATTGCGGCCTATGCGCCCACAAATTGTAGCGCTGATTCGGTGAAAGATGAATTCTATCACCAACGGAGCGCGCTCCTTCGTCACGGGAAAAGTACGATTACTGTGGTGCTGACTGGCGACCTGAACGCCCGAGTTATAAAACTGTGCACTGAGCAACTGCATATGGATAGCCAACACGGTGTAGGCTCCTGTAATAATAACGGTGAGCAGTTGCTGGACGCGTGGGTAAAGATGCCCGTCTATTTCTCGCGAGCGCTAACTTCCGACACAGCACCCGCGGAAGGGTGATATGGCGCCCCTCGTATGTGACCGGCCATGGAGGAAAATGGACCACATCACGATCATTTACCGCTGGAGAGGATGCGTTCAAAACTGTCGCTGTATTTGGAGTACGAGCGTGGACTCTGGTCACGCAATGGTTTGTGCGGATCTTGCTGTTTGTTTCGGTGGGCGTATGCGGTGGCCATATGACCACGGAGTATTAATACTAGTTACTAACCTGCTGTGGTTGACGATATAGCTAAAATCGTCTGCTAGTTTGCTTGATCTGTTATGGATAGTCGCCATCGCGTCTCGTTTCTTAAAAGGCATCGTAACTGAGCTTTTTGTATTGGAAGTGATCAACCTTTCATCCTTTCAGAACGACTGAGTGGATTCGTTGCTTTATTTCTAGCCATTTTGCTCAACGTTGTATCGGACGTGGAGGAGTTTCATTCATACTGACTTTTATTAACAAAAATCCCAAGCTTTATAAGTAGTCTCATGTCGTCATTTAAATCATGCTGTCCTTAGCCTTACTATCATCGCTTCTGAACCTCACCAGTTTCAAATCGTGGCTGCTCACCGGTCCCCGGGATGGTTGAATCTATGGGGCTTAGGACGATTTCTCTCGGTGCATTACTCGCTTGCCATAATTAAGATTGCGTGTTTCAATCCAAGACACACGGCTGTTGCTCCAAATCCCGATGATCATTTGCCACATGTTTACATTATCATTACTTAACCAATCATGTAAACTCAGGCAACCCACTGTGTTGATATTCCTTGACTGGATACCATCTTATGCTTCACCTGATCGTGCTAGCTCTGGTACTTGAAAGACGCACTGGGAACCTCCTTTCCATTCTGAACTGTATGCATCAACAATCCCGTAACCTGATAACTGTTTCTTAAGCTCACATGGCTGGGTTACTCATCGTTTCCCATCCTGTACAACTTCACTATCGAGTCGCCCATGTATCGTCTTGTCTCATCAAAGTCTTCTTAATCAATCAAACAATCAGTCAACAGCAGTACATCAGCCATTTGAACTGACTCTTCGCTGCCATACAACCATGATGACCTAAGGAATAAAGATTAATGAGAGGGAGAGAACGGGGACTTAGCGGAAAACCTTAGTGCCCTAAGCAAATATTTAGGGTCAAGGCGCCTACACCTTGTATAGACAACATACCGTCACAAACAGCTGGCCATCTTGCTTAGATAAGGCAGCATCGTCGAGGCAGCTACCTTACGGCTTTCACCGTCCCGTGTCATAATCAGCCATTACCCCCCAGATTACTCAGCATCCCACACTGAAACCAGTCAATCCGACTAAGAGACTGCAACAAACGCGCCACTGATGTCGGTTACGAGCCGTCCTATAATGTCTTGAGCTAACCACAAGGCGGGTCACATGGACTCCAGCTCGGAAGACGAGAAGGACCAACGGTACCCCCAGTTTGGTCGTCAGTGACTTCATTTCACGCTGCCAAGCCAACTTCTGCTCACCTCGAGCTTTGCACTACCCTACACCTGGCACACTAAACAAGGCTCTCCTAGGTAAGCGGTGACCAGGCATACGTAGCACGTGTCCGAGCCAACGCAACTTATTCAGTGCTAGCTGCTGTTCCAACGAGCTTGCATGATTATCACTCCCTAGTACCCGCCTACGCACGTCATCGTTGCGGACACACTGATGCCATCTGACAGCAGTAGTGTTTCGTAGACAACGATGATCAAAGACTTGAAGGCGCCTCAGATCTTCAGACCGAAGGGTCAGATTTCACTCCCATAGAGCAGAGTGGACCTCACTGTGGTCTTGTATACACGGCTTTTCAGACGGAGGAAAACTCCTTTATCGCCAACGATATCGCAAGTTCAAGGTGGCAGTTCTGGCTTTTGCAGTGCGTGAACTGACTTCAGTTTCTATGCGCCCATCGTTGTTGATGCAGCTGCTTATGTAAGTGAATTGACCAACCATTTCGAGTTTCTCGTTAGCAAGAGTCGAAGGACTGACAAGTGGTCCTGCAACAACATTTTACACTTTGAAGGTGCAGAGCGCATGCTAACTAATGGGACCACCCTACGCAGGCTATTCAGGGTGACTGAGACGCCCCAACCTCATCAAAAAGCAAGACGATATCGTCTACATTATCGAGATCAGTTAACCTTTCACCAGGCAGGACCTCAACGCCTACATCGTTAGATTCCGCATGGGAACACTCCATGATAGAGTCCACGGTGAAATTGAACAAAAATTGGGAAATCGGACAACGCTGATGAACGCCAACTTGTGGTCGGAAATATATCCGACAAGTCACCGTATACCCTGACGCAACCAGTGGTGTGCGAGTATAGAGCACGTGGGGACACTTTTCCGCGCAAGTATTTCTTACAGAAAACATCGATCCACTGAATCGAATGCACTTTTACAATCGAGGAACACAACTATTGTTAGTTTGCGGGACGCGTGGCGCTGCTCTAGCACCTTCCGCCGAGTGAATATATGGTCTACACAGCCACGTCCTGGGCGGAAACCGGCCTGCTCTTCTCTTATCCGAGATTCCCGTTCAGCAGTGAGGCGACGAACGAGAATCGAGGCCAGTAATTTTGTCAAAACCGGCGTTAGGCTAATACTCCTGTGGTTAGAACAGTCTGTGCGACTGCCCTTCTTGTATATTGCCACTATAACCGATTCGCTCCAATTAGCCGGGATACCCTCTTCCTTCCAGATGTTTGAACAGGGAGATCAGTGCTTTGCAGAGGACCTCACCTCCATCCCTAAATAGTGCAGGTGGGAGAGAATCCGGGCCAGCTGCACGAAAACGATTAAGGGCTGTGATCGCGTTTCGGACCTCGGCCTCCGACTTAGGCTCTGAACTACCCGTCCATGGCTCGTCCTGCATCACCTGAGTAGGAAGAGGTCCGGGAGCAGGGGGCAAGCTGAACTGATCTTGAAAGTGTGCCGCCCAACGAGCCATACGGCGCTCCTTATTGTGTATCAGTGCACCCGCGCTGTCTCTGATTGTCTCACTGACGTCTTGTTTTCTGAGATCAGCTGGAAGAGCTTGCGGTAATTGCCTACTGCTCCTGCCTCCTCCATTTCTTGAGCCCGACTGGTCCACCAGGCATTCTTGTCAGCGTGCAGGCTCCGCTTTCGTTCACTCCTAATAGTCCGTCTGGTCACATTGTGCTCTGAGCTAGTCGGTAGGTTTCCTCTTGATTCCAATAGGTTCACCGACCTCTCGGATATCCAGTGACTGGTGCGATGGCGATTGATAGTGCTACAAGCAGATGTTCCTGCGTCGTGCATAGTTGCCGAAATCCTATTCCACTGCAGCTCACTGTCATTAGCACAAGACAGCGAATGTTCGGTACGCAGTGCGTCTTGATAGGCTTGCCTGACCGAGGGCTGAGACAATTTCTCAGTTGCCAGTTGGAGGAGACGTTTGTTGTGCCTCACGGTAAAGTTCACGGAGGAACGACAGCGTACTAAGGCATGATCAGAGTCGACGCAGGTATTCCTATACGAACGGAAATTCAGGAAGTCTTCTCGAGCGGAAGCTCTACCTAGCGGTCCACTGACTAACCTTGTGTACACGGACGACAACTGTGGTTGGGCCGAACCAAACCTCAGTATTAGTGTCTATGGTTAGAGTAGCGCCGGGCGCTGCAATCTTCGCACTCTCATAGCCCAGCGTGCTGTTGCAGGGCTGGATGGACACCAGTTCTGTATATTGCTAGTGGGCTACTCGGAGTGACTAATTGTTCCACGTATCTAGCTGGCTTTATAACATCATGTGGCGGGGCTACTGGATGTGTTGTCAATGCCCACCTTGCTTCCCAGAACCTCAGTCACTTCTGGGTACACGCTTATTGATGGGAGTAATGAGCAGAGCCGCAATGTCACCGGCGTCACTATATGTTTGAGTTCCATCCAGTACACGTCGAAGACGTTGGGGAGTTAGTCTTATTTGATCGTCGGTGTCAGTTATACAGTGTTATGCATTGATGAAAGCAATGGGAAAAAACTAAATCCCATAAGATGGAGCTTATAGCTACCTCTTTCTGTGCCGCACTGATCTATCTGTTGAACTCGTTCCCCTTTACGTTCCCTAAACCCGAATTTTCGTATACCCGTTAACCACCCACCGTCGCTGTTTTCCGGCTATTTTATTTTGCACCACGTTGTGCGCTTTATTCTGGTCTCGGCGATAAACAAGTCAAAAGCTTGATGTCAGCGGCTAGTAACACGTGCTGACAAAATACCACGACTGCTGTGTCATCAAGGTGCGGAGAGCGTCGCAGCGCCTTTAATCGAATTCCACTTTCATCTGCGGCTTTGCGGAAGCTTAGTGCCATTTATTCTCACATCTCTAGTCATTGGGTGCACTTTACCTATCCTGAACGTATTTGCACCGTGTGCACATTAATCATTTGTGGTCATGATCGATCCGTATTATTCTATTTTACATTATCTATCTTTCTTTAGGAAAATGATGCGTTTAATTTGATAGTATCATCATTTCCGGACGCCGTTAGCCAGTTTGGCCCAGAATTATTCCATGTCGGTGTAAGTTCTGTAGAATCTGGCAGCCATTTGTCTTGTTTTGTAACCCTATGTTTTACAGGGCTTTTTAGTGGTTGCAAATCCGGTTAACGCATGTGAACCAATTCAGAATATCTCTCACTACCCAGTACCTGATTCAAGATCTCGTTCACGGGAAACTGATGTGCCCTTCATTGCCCTTATTAGTCGTGGAGGCTGCAATTTCGATCTTAAAGTTCTAAATGTCCAAAATGCCCGCTTTTCCGGAGCAATTGTTTACAACAATGTGGACTATGAAATATTTCCAATGAGCGGTCGTGATTGTACGTCTATTCACCACATAGTTGTCTTTATTTTCCCAAGTTTCCACCAAGATTTTGATACCATCTGTTATGGTAGACAAATCGGCTGGGGATCGTTTGCAATCTTATTCCTTATTAAAAACGGACGAGAAGTGAGTCCCTTTTTCACTAATACTTGTCATCATTTGGGAGTTTACTTACTTTCACACCTCAAAGTATAAAGTAAATCGAGCTGTCCCCCTATATTGTGATCCACTTCAACAATGCGGTGCCGACCTTCTGTAGCTGGGACCAGTGACGAGTGCCTCCGCTACTGTATAATAATGCGATGGTGTAGGAATTAGGCACAGGCAGAACCAGTGTACCATAGTGAAGTTAGTCTGTGGTGTACTCGGGTACGATCAATTGTCTCCACCAAACTCCCGTCGCTAACACTGATTTAGTTGAAGCTGCCGACAGGCAAATACACTCATTGTCTTTTATCGTGGTCGGAGGCAAAACCACTGTCGCGATGGGACGGGAACTCCACAGAACATGATAGTTTGATTACCTTGTCCACTCATTGAACTACTCTGAGTGACATTTCTTTAATGTTTTCAGTACTGTTTACTTAGCCAGGGGGCAGCGGTCGATCAAACTCCCTCGCACCATTCTCATCGAAGGTTGGAGTGAAGTCAGTAATCTTCTTCCCTCACAAGTCAACCGTGGGAACCAGCAGTTTACGGACTGTAAACTCAGCTCCACTGCCATCGATCACAAACACCGACGGTTTTCTCTGACTGTGGGAGAGCACGACTTTTTCTTTTTGGTTTGATGTCACCCACCTGAAGTCAAACTTTTTGGTCCCCAAGGTGTAGATTCGGTTTTACGCCCATCGTCCACTATGGTCGAAAAGCCCGTGGCTTGTTCTGCATCTGCTGATAGCGAGAGCGTTTGGCATTAACCAATTTACATCGTTACTTTTACATTTCGCTCCAAAACTGGACTTGCTCTTCGACGTGATTTGGGCCATACTACTGAGTCATAGGATCTGTGTAGATTTTCTAAAGCAGATCCCCATTCACCCTGCTACCCTACGAGTCAAGCTATTAAATCAAAGTGTAGTAGTTAATTAACCCCTCTTTTATTTGTCCATGGAACTCCGCTTTCAACACTCTTTAACCTTTTCTCTTTCCTCGCATATAGTTATATCCCATGCTGATCAACTGAAAACGGACCCTGATCTGATCCCACTGTGTAGGTAAATCGTCTTCTAAACCCAGGGTCTCGTTTGGTGTCTGGTTTGTCGGCCTTTACACTAGGTGCCTACTGTGTCCACGGACGTATTTTGATATTTACCTTGCGTTCACTTTGGAAGGGCTTCTGGAAACTTAAAAAATGCGCGCAATGTTGTGCCATCTTAAGGAACCTTCGACTAACCGGATCGCGATCCATCGTTGGTGGAGGTTATGTTGAGGACACCAATTAGTTGATCGCTGTTTAAGCCGTTGGTTACATACAGTTAAAATGTTGTAGATCATCTGCCAGGCCCTGATGAATAGCCGCATGTGTACGGTTCACCGTCAGACTTCTACCAGGGCTTGTAGATGGCGTCAGGGTACTTCCATTTTTTCGACCTGTGCTTCCACTTCTTCCTCTCGGAAGCCTGAACAAGTCCCTATATATGGTTGGCGGCATCCGGTTTCGGATTTGCCTGTCACTGTGGCCAGCCACAGGACGCCTGCGCCTACAGACGGACCATGGGTGGCTTGCGCTGCACCACCCACAGCTCAAACCACATACCCCATATCCAGTGTAAACCCGAAGGAATACGATCGGGAGGCATATGGATGGGAGCCACGTTTCATCAACGGAGCCGGCCCACACTCCTTCACAGGCAAACACAAGCATGCTGTATTTAGGGAATCAAGCGTACACAAGGCGGTGACTGGACCGTAGTCCGCTCCACACTGACTGCATGGAACCACTCTTCGATCCTAACACGGCCACAAGGACCGTGCATCCTGTCCCCTCCAGCAACGACCAACTGTCTCCTGGAGCCAGTATGGACGAGGTAGTGGGTAATAGACAGGTAGGCACACTGTCAACATGCACATCAAGCGCAGCCACACCTGGGATGTCAAACAACAGCCAATCACTCAAAATGCCGATATCGAATAAAGTAAACGCATATGACGACATAAATACTCGCTAAATGAGCATATAGAAGAAATTGGTTATAAGTGAATCCATGATAAGTACAAAATGTCCGAGTTATTTAGAAAATACCGCACAATACAATTATGCAAGTTTACCACAATTTGCATGAGCGACGTGTGCAAGTTGGGAGAAGATTATCAAGTACGCAGAACAAACCAACTAAAATGTAACGAATTTTAGCCACATTAAAAAGACCTAATTTAAGTGTAAATTGGTTTAACCCAACTGCGGTGAAGAAAAATCATGAATGCTACATCAGCCTCAGCATGTATATACGCACCCGTCTATAAATATACATGGAGCCATCGAAAAACCACGAGGAACAAAATTGAAAAGGTATGAATGTCAAGAACACCGAACAAATATTTGGCTTTTTCGCTTTTTGTTTGTTTTCACCCGCCACTTTGTTCTTTTTAGTCATTTTTGGTTAATATAGATGTAATCATATTGTTCAGAACATTTAAATGTGCAGTCCCTCTATTGATTCCGGCTTCGCGCCATATCGCCAATTGTGTGGAGCCATTGGCAATCTTCATCCTTGGGTCCCCAACAAGGAAGACGTACAGGGCCAATGATTGTTAGACAGGTCAGCGATTTTATGATTCGCTACCATGTGGTTGGCTGACCACCCCGCGTTCTCTTCCACTTCAATCCCATGCGAAAAAATATGGCGCGGCGTGGTAAGCGCTCGCATGACATACGTAGAACATGGCCAAGCCATCTCAATTGACGTATTCCAACAAGGCGATTAAGTGGAAGGCTCATGTCTCCTAAGGCGCGACGCCGGACTTCATCATTGAGAACCCCGTGCCGCCACCACGCACGAGCTATCCTCCGCAAACATGTGTTGTCGAAGGCCAAACGCCTACGCTGGTGACACGAATATACAAGTTTTCCGTTTATATAGAACATAAAGCGCCTGTGGACAGTTCTGGGATCGGTGCTTGGTGTATTGGAAATGGGGTCCGTCTCCTCTGATTGTGTGCCGACTTCAGTCTGGTCCGCTTACCACAAGTGTTCAGATCGCACCTCTTGGTTGAATGGCTAATGTTTGTCCAGTATTGTTCTAGCTTGTCTAAAATCACGGGTTCGCGAAAAACACTAGCTAGTGTACTTATAGCTGTGTAAGACGGGATTGTAATTCAATCAGATCCGCATATGTTATATGGGACATTTTGGTGGACAGTTCGGCCGGCACACGTCGCCATCTCTTTGCTCGCTGAAACTTTGGTGTGTTGATGCAATGTCGAGCAAGACTTTTGTAAGCTTGCTATATTGAAGTGAAAAAGATGAATGAACTTGAGTACATGCCCTCCTTATTGTATTACGGCGGTGACTAGCCCTATTCCCCATTTTGTGGGACACTGACGAGATGCCTTCGAGCTGATGGTTGTCTACTGTTCCCCCCGTCTTTTAATGGTGCTATTGAAAATGGACGTCATTTCGAAGCACTTATTGTGTTAATGGATTGCGGCAAGCACCCTCATTCAGGACTGCGATTCACTTTGAAGTGAACTTTGGCCGAATTGGCCACCACCCGTTCTTATCGTTACCAATCAAGCGCTCGAAGTTGTAGATCGGTTTACATTTCCGGACAACCGTATCACTTGTGGCGGTCTTATTACTGAAGGTACCGCTGCACGCGTTGGTAAGTCTCGTGCTACTTTTCGCAGCCTGAACCATTTATGGACAAGACTGGGGTCTATAGCGCTGTCGCGGAATATAGCTCATAGCTCTGGTCACTGTATTGATGGGCACCAGGAGAGTGGTCATTTTTTTACCACCAATTCCTGCCAAGTGTTTTATTTAAAATTTTGGATAAGAGAACCGATTGTGTAACCTAGGTTCGTCATTTGGTATTCGTTAACATATCCTCTTTGGATCAGCCGGATGATGCGCATACTGCGTACACTCTGGTTTGCTTGCCACTACTTCGTCTAGTGGGGCGAAAACCCATGGGCGATCAGTCAGCGGCATGATTTAAATCCCAAAGATGCTCGCTGACGGCTCGGGTCAAGTTGGCATCTGTCCTCTTCCTGAACAGTGTCTTCCGAAACATTGACCGGCGGATGAAAGCGTTACGCGCTCTTGTATTCTTGAAGTCACCGATTCGAAACCGCGTAACTGCGGGCGACCTCACGGTATGCTCAGCTCACGCGAGACTGTTGGTGGTCGCATGCTAACGAAGCGTCTGTACACTACCGACGTACTACTAACGGCTTCTAGGTCGCGTGCTTTATGAACTGGATACTATTAAATATGATTGTGATCAAGAAGCGGTTCTTTTGTATTTGTTTTCTCATTTCCGGCCTTTACCTACCTCATATGATGATCTTATTTTTTGCACATTGTTTAATTATCATTGGTAATACTGCCATGATTGCTTTAGCGACTTGTGTCAAGTATGCTGGATCCACCGTGCCTCAGCACACAGATACTAATTGATTGGCTCATAGCTGAGAAATTACCTCGTATCACACAGCTGCTGACACTTTGGATTCAGATGTGTAACCGCACACTTTGGCTAGTTGATGGCTTTGCGAAAGATATGACGGTAACCACGATTTAACGTTTTCCAAAGGTTTCTAGTGTTCAGCTGTGCTGTAATTTTTTATTTTACAGTTTTTTGCCCCATCTGTTTATCCCTGCAATTTACTGTATCGAACCATTGCATTGGATGTTGTACTTTCACTAAAAATGACTGATTTTGCGACACCATCCGCATTAACTTTGTTTTGTTTTTCCATTCACATAAGCTAACTTATCATAATACTTCAGTCATAAAACCCGACGAAATGTTCGAGTGTAACGCTTGGCATTGACTTCTAACAACTCACGTGATTCTCACTAACAGCTGTTGATGCTGACTCTTTCTGATCGTGGTGGCGCATATGCTTGTCTTTTCCCCTTCTCCTTCAGATACCTCGTAAGTCTGACGAGCTTCTACAGCATCCCCTTGAAATACGTACTGCTAGCTCTGTTGATACTTGTCGGTACCTCCCTTTTGATCCTCATCGGCTGCTTCATATCTCACTTCTGTAATTCTTGGTGCCGTGCTCGACGTGGAAGGCTATCGTACCGTCACTTACGTCAGTTGACCACCAAACGGTTTACAAAAGGTAAGTACGCTTCTGCGGTCATTTGCTTTGGAACGTCTTCATACAAAGCGTTCCATCCGATTGGCGTAAGTGAAATATTCTCGACCGGTCAGCGTCTCTGATCGTCACAAGTGTTGCGGTTCTATCTTATCTCCCACTGTGTACAGGCTAACTGAGCTGTTACTTGCAAGTTTCTTTCGCCAATCATTTTACGTGAGGTTTTGTTGCGGTGCTGCTTCTGCTGCCCTTACGTCTAAGGACATAAGAACGACTCAATGCCCACTTTTGTTAAGGTTGCGCCATAACTGTCGCCGAGCTTTTACTTTAAGTGAACAACCTTATCCTCGTTAGATTCATATGAATGTCATTGCCGTCGCAACGAGACTGGACCTTAACGTGGTGCGACGGTTTGCGTACCTCATTGACCCATTGAGCTATACTGGGTGATGCCTCCGGGCACCTTGAGAGCTACTCCTACCAGGTTGGTCAATGGTGAGAGGTCAGACAAACTCAGTCTCCTGGTCCTCCAGGTTGGAGGTTTGAAATAGAATGGTGTCCATTGTAAAACTAAATCATTGCCACCTCCCCGCTGCCTTTCGGACAGGCTTTTGAGCCAAAGGCTTTGGATTAGGACCCTAATTGTTCTCCTGTCTTGGTCTGGGCGCCCTGACAGTATCTCAGCTCACATACAACCATGACATTTTCCTCAAACATAAACTTCATCCTGCATCAGCCGTCGCGCAGATTATCAAGGGTCGCCTTGTCTGCTGCATACAGCAGGGCGGATAAGCGAAAACATACTACTGCTGGTGCCTCCCTTCTTTCTTTTCCACCATTTTCTCTTACTCCCATCCCGACCCCCATTACTAACCTTCCTTCGATAATTCCCAGCTTAATTGACAGCAACCGAAGTGCCACTGGAGTAGAACCATCTGCAGCCACCATCCCACTGCACCTATCGGACGCCTATCGGCAAAAGTCCCTTATAAGGCCACGCTGTCCCGTTTCCATGGCGACACTCAACGTTCGCACTCTAAGACAAACAGGTCAGCAGGCTGCACTCGCACGCACCTTGGACACACTGGGTATTGATGTGTGTTGTGTGTCCGCAACTAGGATCAATGATCCTAATGGGGTTATTGAATTAACTGCACCCGACTTATCCTCTCGTTATTGGTTGCACGCATCCGGAGACGCCGATGCAGCACACACGGGTCGAGCTGGTGTAGGTATCATTCTAAGCTCCAAGGCAGTGCCATCGTTGGTTAATTGGATTCCGGTGAACAGCCGTTTATGTGCAGCCCGTTTGACGACATCAGCCAAGGTTGATTCACGAAATAGTACAAAACACTTAGTTTTTGATTTCCGCTTATGCTCCCACCGATGTTGTCAGGGACACATTGGGGCCGGCTCCAAGCCATATCAGCTAGTGTGTCCAACCAAACGTGTTCACCGTCCTTTGGACCCCAGCCAGGCAGTCGGGATGCACCAACCGACGCCAACTTCGAAGTGAGGGTTGACGATCACGAGCACTCGGTTTGCACTGAGTGTGAGTGATATAGCAACCAAGGCGCACTCACGGAGTGGTCACGATCACCTGTTCGACTATGTCATCGTACGTCAGCATGAAGTGCATGACACGTGTACTGCGTGGAACTGAGTGTGGCACTGATCACAAGGTGGTGCGGACCAAATTGTACATCCATGTACGGATTAGTACTTACTGTGTACCTGCCGTGAACCAGAGGTATAAATTTCACATCATCTCCCTCGGTACTGTGGCTGATGTGATGCAAAAGACTGATACCATCGGAAAACATATATCATTGTAACTTATTCAAACTACCGTTCCAATGGAGGCATCTGTTTTCGAACAAACTTTGATCTTCTAAATTGCAAGTTACTCTGAACATTTCGAACAATATGTTCCACTATCACTCCTCGGCTTTGCTGAATTTACCTTACACATTTTGCTACACAACCTCTGTCACCGATGAGATTCTGCTCAAGCTGATGCTGCTGTATCTAAACGACACATCTCAACCTGACGACTAGTTCTATCGTTTCCGAATGACGCTGTTTACTGTTTGCTGTTGTGTCGCGAAATGTATGAGTCCTCAGACTTGCGGCTGCGGCTGCGGATTCTCATTTTCGTGTTTAGCACTCTCGAGTCATTTTGTGTGAGGATCATCAACATCATTGCCTTTTTATTGCTGACATGCTCACCCGGGGCCAGGCCGGCTTCTGTCGTGGCGGAACATGCCGTTCCCGAGTTGCTTCACATATATAAAGACGCTGCCACAGTGGCCTTCCCAACTTGTAGCATCATCTTTGCCTTAGTTTCTCTCGCCGCCTCCCGGCGCCACCCATCGCTGGAGGCGTTTGTCGGAAGAATTCCTTCCTGTTCAGAGATCTATATATTAGCCGGCCCGTAGTGTAAAGGATCACAAGCCTGTCTTGTAATCCAAGGGCGCTGCTCCAATCCTGCGTATAGAACCGGGCGACCCTCGCAGTATCCTGCCTACGCACAACTGGTGGTTGTTGCGCGGCAGCGAAACCTCGGTACTGCGTATCGGTGTACTGCTGATGCCTTTCTACATGGTATTTCAGCCCTTGCGACCTCACGGGTACATGTCTCATGAGTGCGCTTCAACAGTTTAGGTGTACCGGAGCTGTCCCATTTCTTTTTCCCTGTGGGTGATCGGGAACAATTCTGTTCTGCCTTCTTATTGAACGGGGGTCTTGGCGGATGAGAAACTGGCAACTATGATGTGTGTCGGGCTCAATCATTCCTCACTCATTTAAACGTTTGCTTCACGCATTTTTGACTTCCGTTTGGTTTTTCTGACCGCCAATCACTAGAGACTAAAGGCACTTGCATGTGCGTAACACCCTTCAGCGGTCGATAACGATGGAACAACTGTACGCCGTAACGACGCTTCGCTGCAGTGCGACCACCACCAGTCGCACGCGGGCTGAGTATACCACGAGGACGCCCACCCCTACGTGGATTCGAACTCGCGCCACAAGATTACGAGGCAAGCTCGTTACCCCTAGGCTACGGGCCGACCCCTGGGCGGTTAAACGAGAACATTTCAGCTGAGTGTGCAACGACCGAACTTGTATGATTCATAGTGTAGGCGCTTGCCGTTTTGCTTTAGTGCTCTTCTAGGCTTTATCTCCTCAGTAGTTGGAAACTCTGTGGACACGGCGTTTTCGCAATTTGTTTGTGCTTCTTTTCCACTTTTTCATTTCTACCTATTCCGTCTATTTGTTCAACTTTTGTTTATTTCTTCTTTTCTCCGACCATTTTCCTCTTAAGCACTATGATTTTTCGCAAGTCAAACGGATCCATCGCACTTTTCTGCACAGTTCACAGTTGAACAAATGAGAATTTTGATTGAACCCCCAAATGTGTTTCCCTTTCCCTCTTCTCCGCAGGTCGGGATCCGTACGAAGCCTGTTCAATATGCTTAGAAGATTATGAGGAACGCGATAAGCTGCGTCTATTGCCTTGTCATCATGGTGGGTCGTGGATCTATTTGCCACAAAGTTTACCACGTGAATTCTTAATGATCATGACTTTGTGTTCCAAACCCGTATCACCTCGCTTTTAAACCTCTTTCTCTATGCAGTGAGGTACAAATCGACATGCTTTCATACCCCTATGGTTAGAGGCCGGTACTATCGTTCCTCTTTTTCTGCTCTCCATCTCTTCCTCTTTCGCCCTTGGCTACTATTGGTTGTTCGTGTCCGTGCACTCTCACTGTGTACACAATATGACTTGATGTCAAAAAGGCTACAGTATTTGTTGTTCAAGATTTAATACCGCAGTATCAATCTGGCTACCTTCTTTGAGCCTTCCCATATAATACGCACTTTCGTTCACCTCGTCAGCTGTACGCCATAACGGCGCTTCGCTGCCACACGACCACCACCAGTCGCGCGTTGGCTGAGTATACAGCGAGGACGCCCACTCCTACGCGGATTCGAACCGGTGACCTTATAATTACAAGCCAGGCGTGCAGACCACTCGGCCTGCTGTCCATTGCCTGTGTGTGGTGGCTGCACCACGTAACCAATGTAGAAGTTGGACAGGGTGTCTTGGGTAGAGGCAGCCACTCGTTTGAGGAGCTCGGCGCGTCGCGTTAACCGCGATTGTGCATGCTCACTCATCGTCTTCCTCGTGGGGCGTTGTTCGCTGTTTCTGGACAGGGCTGGAGGAAACGGCATGGTGGACAACCTACGACTTGGAGAAGCAGCATGAAAAAGCTGACAAAACAATTGGCTTTGGTCAGTTGTTCTCGACTCTGGTTTGGATTTCAACAATGCAGGGGGTGTCGCTAATGGGAGATCATGGAAGTCGTGGCTCGAGACCGATCTCGTTGATAGATATGTATCCATAATAAAACAACTTATTATTATTATGTAGCTCTTTTTGGGTTCGAGGCCGCTGCCCATCTGGTCGCAGCAGATCGTTGTCACTGTTACTGACTATCGATCCTCACAACCATCGATTACTCACTGTTCGATCGGTTCATTTTCTCAGGTGGCTTTATGAGGTTCCTTGATCACCTCGAAGAGGTGACGAGACTGAACCTTAACGTGGTGCGATGGTTTGTGTGCCTCAGTGATCCATTGAGCTATGCTGGGTGGTGCTTTTTTGCACCTTCAGAGCCACTCATATCAGATTGCTAAATGGTTAGTGGTCAGACAAACTCAGTCTCCTGGTCCTCCAGGTTGGGGGTTGAAGTGAGAGTGGCTCTTTATCCCATAAAACGGGCTCTCTGTAGTCCAGTGCCAAAACCCGCTGCCTTGCGGTAAGGTTTTTGAACCAAAGGCTTTGGTTGAGAACCCTAATCGTCCTCTTGTCTAGGCCTGAGCAACCTGACAGTATCCTGCCCACGTACTACAATGAGCCTATCTTCTAACCATTTCTTCATGCTCTGGCCTTCGCAGGGCGTAATCAACGGTGCCCTATCTGCTGCATTGAGCAGAGTGGATAGGGTTATGGATGCTACTGCTCAGGCCCTCCTGTCTTCTTATGCGCTTTTTCATTCTTAGCGTCCCACTCCGACTTTACTCTTCCCTCCACTTTCCACCCCCTACTTCTTGGCCCTCCCCCACCTTGCTTCAATAGTTACTTGTCTTCTAATTTCAACTCACACACCGTCGCAGGGCGTCGCTCCAATCCAGTCGACAACTCCATGTTCGACCAAGCGGACAATGTCAGTTCATCCGTTTCCCTTTGGAGTCCTTAAGTCTCGCTAAGACTGGCATGCCTCAACGTGCGCACTTTGCTACAGATTGGACAGCAGGCAGCACTTGCCCTCACATTAGAGACCCTATCATTCGATATTTGTTGTTTATCAGAAACCCGCCTGCAAGATTCGACCCCCGTGCTTACCCTGCGATCCCCCACATGCGACACTGGCGGCACATTCTCATTGCGCCTGTCTGGCGACGATGCAGCTTCAAATGCCGCTCAAACTGGCGTCGGCATTGTTTTGAGTCCCCGGGCTGAAACTGCCCTGATCGACTGGATCCCAGTCAACAGTCGGATGCGCGCCGTTAGATTAGCTGGTTCATTCCATGCTATGAAGTCGCGCGGGAACAATCGGTGCCTGTTTGTCATTGCGGCCTACGCCCCTACAAACTGTAGCACTGATTCAGTGAAAGATTATTTCTATCAGCAACTTCGCGATCGCTTTCATTACAGAAGAAACACGGATACTGTGGTGCTGGCTGGCGATCTAAACGCCCAACTCGGAAGATTATCCTCTGATGAGCTCCATCTAAGCGGCCAACATGGTGTAGGCTTCCGTCATGATAACAGTGAGCGTTTGCTACAGCTGTGTAAAGATGCTTGTCTCTTTCTCGCGATCACTAACTTTCGACACAGCAACCACAGAAGCGTGACTTGGCGCCCACCAGCCTTGGGTCAGCCATTTACGCAAATGGATCATATCGCGATCAGTTACCGCTGGAGGGGCTATGTCCAAAACTGTCGCTCGATTTGGAGCACGAGCGTGGACTCTGACCACACACTTCTCTGCGCCGACCTTCGGGTGCGTTTCGATGGACGTCCGCAACGTCGATGTGAACGGATTGACACCAGCCAGCTGGCGAAACCAGATGTTCTGAATGTGTACCAAGATGCGCTGACATCCGGACTGAGTAAGCGCCCACTGAACACCGTCGAAGATCACTGGTCGCATATTCGTCAAACGTTACTATCCGCAGGCATGTCTTTATGTGGCAAATCAAATTGCCAAACTGGACATTTTGTCTCTACACAGTCTCTGGAACTTATGGATGTTCGCCGACGTATTTCGGCTGGAAGCGAATACAAGAAGGCTCGCAAAAATCTCAGGGCAAAACTGCGTGCTAGACTGAAGAAAAATCGCGAAGCCTGGTGGTCTCATCGTACCTCGGAGATGGAAACAGTCGCTACCGTTGGTAATCATCGTAAGTTATTCCATCTGATACGGGAAACAGGCAACAGGAGACCTGGTGTTAGCGAGAGCATACGAGACGAGAGTGGGCACCAGATCCACAGCCTGTCAAAACGCTTGGAGCGTTGGGCCGAACACTTTACAAAGAAATTTAACTAACCTGAGTTATCGGTTTCTTTTTCGGACATTGAGCGCCCTTCTCCCTGGACCGTCTCCTTGGATCCGCTCTCACGCGCAGAAGTCGAACGTGAGATCAGGCTGTTGAATTTGCATAAGGCCGCAGGGACAGATAGAATTCCTCCAGCCCTCTTCAATTTCGAGGGACCTGCTCTAGTAGATCATTTACACTAGTTTCTAGTGAAACTTTGGGAGCAGAAAACTGTTCCGACAGACTGGAGCCGCTCCGTCATTGTCCCAATTTTCAAGGGGGGCTCCCATTCGGAATTAGGCAATCATAGAGGGGCCAGTCTGATTTCAATTGCCTCTAAATTGCTTGCGTCTCTCATTCTCCAGACTAACTGGCATTCGTGAAAACCAGATTCGTGAAGAGCAAGCCGGATTTCGTCGAGGTCGGGGCTGCATCGACCACATCTTCACCTTGCGTCAATTGTTGGAGCACCGCCATGTTTATTGGCGACCCACCGTTGTCGTGTTTCTTGACATAAAAGGTGCCTTGGACTCAGTCGATCGATGTGCCCTTTGGGACTGTCTGCTGAGGAAAGGTGTGCCTGATAAATACGTAAACATTATCAAAGCGCTGTACGTGTATACTTCGGGCAGAGTGAGGGTTTATAGCAAACTGTCGCCGCCCTTCAATCTCACCAGCGATGTGAGACAAGGATGCCCGCTGTCACCTTTCCTACTTACTTAACTTTGCAGTTGACGAAGTCATGGAATCAGCATTCGCTTGACACGACCTGGAAGGTGTGGATCTACTTTCTGGTGAGCGACTTCTTGACTTGGAGTACGCGGACGATATTGCTCTAATCTGTGACAGTTCCCAAACATGCCAAGCAACACTGGACCGATTAGCACTGACTGTATATCGTTTCAGGCTATGGTTTGCTCCAAAGAAATGCAAAGTACTTCTCTAAGATCGGCAGGGATCCACCCTTGCGCTGACCCTTGCTGGCGATCAGCTAGAAATCGTTCAGGAATTCAAGTGCCTGGGCAGCTATACTAGCGCCCGTGGGATCGAAGATAAGCTTACGAACCGCATAGCAAGTGCTCGAGGTGCTTTTGCCAATCTCCGCCACCTGTGGTGCAGACGCGACATTACTCTCGCCCTGAAGGGCAGAGTTTGTAACGCAGCCGTTTGTTCAACTCTCCTATATGGTTGTAAAACCTGGCCCATCAGGTCTACAGACCTAAAGTGCCTCGTCACATTCGATCATTGCTGCCTTCGCAGCTTAGTTCATGTCTGATGGGAGCACCGTGTGAGCAATGTGCGTGTTCGGTGTCGCGTATTTGGTGCAGGAAGAGCGAGTGAACCCCTGAGCACCATTATATCACACACCAGGCTCCGATGGCTGGATCACGTGTTGCACATGCCAGCACACCGACTCCCGCGACGTGCGTTGTTTGCTCGCCGGAGGTGCTGTTGGAAGAGGAGGAGAGGAGGCCAAGCGATGACTTGGTCGAGAGAAATGAAAACCCTCACTTCGAAGTTGGCGTCGGTTGGTGTATTCCGACTGCCTGGCTGGGGTCCTAAGGACGGTGAACACGTTTGGTTGGACACACTTGCAGATATGGCTAGGAGCCGGACCAATGACGTTTGTGTTGTGGGTTCCTTTACCTATCTCCTTGCTGCTTAGTCTCCCCCTCCAATCACGATCTCATTCGTTAGACATAATATTACTCCTTTTGCGGCACGATAGCCGGCTGTTAGCTCTCCGGAACGATGTCCATCTGTTACTGCGGACTCAGGCGGCGTGCCACTGTTCTTTTTTCTTGTCCTTCGTATTGCGGCACAATAACTGAGGTGTTTTCCACCTGCAGCTAACGTGTATAAGCAATATATATATATATATGTATATATATATATATGTATATATATATATATATATATATATATATATAGTCACGTTCGTACGACATGTAAAGAGTTGCCAATTGACTGACGGCGTCTACCCCGAAGTTTGCTCTAAGTTACTTACCTACTTGTAAACCTACTACTACGCACTGGAGATCTCAAATCAATTGCGAATGAAATGTGTGAAAACAAATTACCAAACTCAGCGAACAAGTCAGCATCTCAGAACAACCTCTTTCACGCCATACAAATCAGCCGCGTTCCTCAGTGGAACTCCTTGTCCACACCGTGCTTACACACAAGGGGAAATTTAAGGCGATGTCTAAGACCAAAGTGAGTGAAAATATGGAAGTGGGATAACCCTGACAGACGGCGAGTGTTGTCTTAAGCATCCTAAGACTGCCTTGTAATCTGAGAGCGCTGGTTCGAGTCTGCGTATGGACCGGGCGACCCTCTCAGTATCCTTGGCCCGCGTGCGACCGGCGGTGGTTGCATGGTAGCGAAAAGTCGGTACTGCCTACCTGCGTACTGCTGATGCCTGCTTGGAAGGAGTCCGATAAGTCGCCGTATGCCCTAACACACCTTGTATCGTTCGGGCACAGCACATGGGCTCATTGTGGTCGACTTTCGAACCTCATCCATCGATGGGACCCCTAAAAGCATCACCTTGATTCTGCTTGCATCAGTTAAATGCATACCGGCTGAGGAACAAAATATATACTGGACTGCTCTCGAAAGTCCCCCACTAAAGTAACTAAACAGCTTGCAAAACCATCCTTATTGGTTATGTGTACAACCCATCACACTGTCGTAAATCGGATCTCGATCGCCTCTTGGAAGTCTTCTTATATGCCTCTGAGCAGCCGGCAACTCAGAAAGTTGTTGGTGGATACTTTAATATGCCTGAGAATTCCTGGTATCCACCACGGTCCCCATTAAAATATCTGCATTTTGTTTCAGCAATTCATACCTTTGGTTGGATTCAACAACTTTCATCTCCAGCAAGAGATATACACTTACTAGACCTAATCTTTACAAAAATATAAAACGCATCTTCCCCAATATTTCTGAGAGTGACCACAAGATAGCGGAGATCAGTTTCGAAGGAATCACCTACAACCACAATACATTCAACAAGCTTTTAAGTTTTTGTGACTATCACATAACTAACTGGAAAGATTTTGCAATCATATTGCGATCTCTAGACTGAGATGACTATTTCCTCTTCTCTGAACCTCAATATGCAGCTGACTTGTTATACAAAAACGCAATCTAGTGTCTAGATGTCTTCTGTCCGATGTGTCACAGGCATACATCCCTCAAAACGAGTTAGACCACTATCCCGTTGCATATATTACGAAACTGAAGAAGCTACAATATATACTTATAAAGACTAACGATTTTAGTCTATTAATTCAGCAATATCAAATAATGTCACCCTTAGAAATAAATCGGTCCTCAAAACTTCCTAGAGACGAGACCAATGCCTTAATCTCCTGCAATAAACCAAAAGAAATGACTAGACTATTCCACCTCGGGAGCAACTTTAAGCATGATAATACCACCTTGCATTATAGTACCCGACAACAACCTTTCTGCAAACCCGACTCAGGTGTGTGTGGATTTCATTGAGTGCTTTTTATCGTTTTTCACTGAGCCGTGCATAGTACCGATGGTTAACATCCTCACTAAAACTGCAGATTGCATCAGTACTGTTGAATTCGATCAATCGAACATAAGAACTCTGATAAACTCAATGCTAACGAGCTTTTAACATGGCCCGGATGGAATACCGTCTGCTATGCTCAAATTCGGAGGCTCTGATATCCCCATATTGCTTCGAAATATTTTTACGTTATCCATGAAGTCTAGGGTTGTTCCAGACGTGTGGAAGTATCTGTTCGTTTCACCACGATATAAAAGCAGCCCACCTCAATTACAGACGAGCTATCGGCCCATCAGCGATACCTCCATTCCGTGTGGAACAATGGAAAGAGTAATAAAAGCTAAAATTGTTGAATCCCTACTGTACTGGAACTTGATCCTTCCTTCCCAGCATGGATTTCTGAGAACACGGTCATGTATTACTTGTCAAGTACAATTTCTAAACTTCCTTACTCGTTCCATTGACTGTGGTAAGCGCCTGATCATCATATTTCTTGATATGCGTAGAGCGTTCGATCGGGTACCACATGGAAATCTTCTATCGAAAGTACATTCCTGTGGTATATCTGGCAGTTTACATTCTTGGCTAGCATCATATCTTTCTGATCGGCTTCAGGCAGTCGAAATACTAAGCAATACTTCCACGAGTAGCAAAGTCACAAGTGGCGTGATCCAAAGGAGTGTTCTAGGACCTCTTCTTTTTTGATGTACATTAACAACGTCTTCTATGTCATCAAATATGGCAAACCCAATGTATTCGCAGATGACATTAAACTTGTCTGAGTTCGATTTGGACAATTTCATTAACGCACTAACTGACATACAAGCGGATCTTCACGAGCTGGAAACTTGGTGCAGCAAGTGGAAAATAGAACTCTCATCCCAGCAGTGTCGCGGCATATGTTATCTGTGCAGTATTGCATCACATTTTCTGATGCTAGAAGGCAAAACCATGTCCACCTGTCTCACAATTCGTGATCTTGGGATACACTACTCGAGCTCCTTCAATTTCGCCGAACAGGTGCAGTACACGGTTGCATAACCCCTTAAGCTAGGAGGGCTAATACTAAAATCCTTTATTTTCTATGAATACAAAATCCACCCGTATAAAACTCCCATTCGTACCGTATTGTCTTACTGGGTATTAACATTCTCCAACTAAAGAAAAAAAATGAGAGAACGGCAATAGAAAATATGCAGTGCAATTTTATGAAATGCCTAATGAGAAACTCTGGTGATCTTACCTACTATGACCGTTGTTGTAAGATGAAGATAGAACCTCTCTGGTTAAGGAGATTAAAACTTAACCTGAACATTGTGCTCGGTGCCGGTAAGGATTTTTTTCTGAGAATCTGGCTGGTTAGCCAACATTTATATATTCAGTACCTAGCGTCATGACTGACCGTACCGCGAGTAGTGTCTCGCGCATCGTGCTTGTAGATGGAGACACTATCCCACTGAAGCTCGATCTTGTCAGAACAAATGGTCAAAAGTGCCATTTTGCTAGTTTAATTTGACTGAGGACTTTCAATTGCTAACCGAGGGAATCCGTTGCTGGAAGTCTATGATAAGGGTCCCAAGTGGACTCACATCACCTGGAACGTATGATGATGTGATCCATTTGGGTCACTCACCGGTCACAACCTATGATCAGCATAAAATTGCAACGGATGCTCGCCATTGTCCCCGCGTTCGAAGTTAAACCAACACTCCCCACCTAACTGTGCTCCTGAGGACCTTAGGTCACTTATTTAAACGTCCCCATCGTAGTACCTATAAGTATACCTTGATTGTAACATTACATGGTGGCTTTGACACTAGCGGT